CCACTGTGAGAAACGATGATATTAGCTTGCGATATAATGAATTGAAGGGTTAAGGGGACGTATGGAGGAATTTTCATCGATTTTAAAAAAATTGGTTATTTTGTTTTGTTTACTTTGTCCTAAGCTAAATCTATGTTTTCCACATTGGGTCAAGGACAAGCGGAGCCGGCAGGGTTCCCTGTAATCTTTCCTACCGCCCAACTCGTTCCAACCTTGTGAATCGCTACCAAAAGTGCAGCTGATTAAACTGAATCGAAAAATCAAGAAAATCAAAACGTCTCCGAAAAAACCAGAAGATTCATCCATGATGGACCCAGTCAATGTGCTCCTTACACATTCCCTCGTCTGTCATACCTTCCAAATGACAAATTTACTTAATCTCTGCTGAGAGCAGTAGATGAGTTAGCAGGCACCTTTGATCCAGCTGGTATCCTACTAATAGTTAGTAGATGCCCCAGAAGGGGACATCGTCGAGGTTGCTGTGCCCTCAAACTTCTTCTTCAGATCCCAGCACTCCGAAACCTGTTGCCTCGGCCATTGCGACATCCTTCGCCGCGGCGACGATCGCCTCTTCGGCCTTTTTGGCTGCAGCCCTAGCTCGAGCCGCCTCCGCGAACTTCCCTTGCTCGAGGTGGCGTATCCACGCGAGCTGCTCTTTTGTCACCGGCCCAGACTTTCTGGGCCTGATTTGCCAGTCCCGAGAATCCGATCGGTGGGGTCCTCCGCAGTTGCGACACTTTGTGAGGGCCTTGCACTCGGCTTCCGAGTACATGTTGGAGCCGCAGTTCCAGCAAGCTGGAGCGCGGGAGCAACCGCGAGTGGCGTGGAAGCCCAAACAGCGTTTACACTGTTCGATTTGTGGTCGTGGCTTGTGAATGGTAGCCATACCAGCCTCTTCGAGAATGCGGAAGCCTGGGCGAGGGGCGTTGTTCCGGTCGAAAAGGGCTTTCCAATTTCTGTGCGGCGCTCCGGGACGGCACTTTCCATGAGGTCGGACCTGTATTGGTCTCACGCCGGTCGTAAGGGTGATCTTGGCGAAGACCAACTCAGCATCGATCGCCCTGGGGCCGCTCTCTGTAATTATACTTACAGGTACGTTCGATATCTGTAAGGCTACAAGATCTGAAGATGCCTCGAGTTTGGCGTTTTCACTCGCCAGCTTCGAAGAGCCATCTAGAATCTCTTGTCGTGTTTTTTCGTCCTTTGTTAGCATAGCAAAGTCGGTCCTCACTCGATGAAGTGAGGTTATTTTGTCGTGAAAGAAAAGAAATCTCATCTCCAATTTGCTTCTCACGCAACTTGTGGACAGTTTTCGCCACGGATGGTCCTTTTCAAGCCGAAGGAACAGTCGCTCGTCGACTTTCGCCTTGGGGGTTTCTTTTTGGTGGGCTTTGGCCGCAGGTCGCAGCATAGCCTTGGCAGTAGGGACTGCTTTTTGTCGTAGTCCGTGTCTGGCTACCGTGGCCCAGGTGCTTTTGACGGGCAGAGCTGGGACGGTGGGTAATGTTTGGCTCCTGGCGTCGGGAGCCCTTGGGAGGGGGTTTGTCGGGCGAGGAGGGAGGACGGGTGGCGTAGTGGCCGGGTCCGTAGCCATGTATTGCGCTATGGCGGCGCGTAAGTAGACTCTCATGGAGTCAACGAATTGTCTATTTGACCCGTTGGTCAAAGGGAGGAGGGTGGCTTCGACGCCAGAGATGGCGGCGCGTCGTTGTTCAGCTTCGACAATTGGTCGAAGCTCGAGGGGACAATCTGCTTTTGTGGCAGCTTTTGGCTGCGACGTTGATGTTGACGCTGCTATGGGTGCAGCGTTTTCCGGCGGTTTTGAGGTGGTCGGAGGAGGTTTGGACGATTCTCCAATCCCGTCGGGACGGAGGCCCGTTGAGGAATTTCCTCAACAATCTCGACTGACCCGAACATGTCAGTATCGGGTACAGTGACGGCGGGGAGGACTTTTTCCTTCCCTTTGATTGAGACCTTCCACATCTCCGCGCATTTCGGAGACTGGACAAGGCCAGGTAATTGTTCGAGAGCCCCCGGGTGGACTCTCGTGTTGTCCAACTTGGCGTTGGGACGCTTTTTTCGAACAGGTGGCATGGTGAAAATGTCAGTGACTCGATCACAATCTATTGAGGGAATGCGACGAGCGCGAGAGGGAGGGAGAGGGGGAAAAGGTGAAGTTTCGAATTTTCGAATTTCAAAAAATTGGTTGTGTGTTGTGAGTTGGCACGAAATTTAATAATAATAATAACAATTATTTCAATTTATTTTCCTCTCTAAGTCTGCTACTATGTAGGACATATAGGTCCTCTCTGCCTACAGGCCATGGATACCTCTACTAGTAGTATATCCCCTCCTATGCCTCCCATACCGCTCCCCTCAAACAGTAACACCCCTCACAAGTCCTCATTCGATCATACACTGAGGAGCCCTTTGCCCTTTATTATCTCCCCTCTCCAGCCAACGATACGATGGCCATTTGCGGGTGTATGCCAGCCGGGAAAATCCGCAAAAACAACTAGGTGCGGAGCTCTTCTAATACCGATATTAGGACTCTATCCGAAGACATAGTGATCCTTCTGAAGCATTCGAAGGGGCCGGCCAGCTGGGCGCTGCAGACTTGTGTGTACCTCGGGAGATTCACCCTCTGCCTTTCTAGCTTCATTCCACCTCCTTCCCGAAGGTCGTGCAGCAAAATCAGAAAGGTCTTGATAGAGCGTGATTGATGTATGGTAGCTTAGCCGAACTTCTTTTGTAGCGTCTAGGGCGCTGGGGAATGCCGTTGACTCATCGACAATTGAAGCCCTCCTGGCTAATTAGCCGAGATATCGGTCTTTGTGCCGGTAAACGTTCCAAAGTTGAAATCCCCTCGAAAATATCGGTCCCAGCATGGTCTTCAGAGACTCCTTCCCCCTCTCGCTCCACATCTCAGGCGCCTATTCTCCCTCAAGGTGTTTGTCCCATTAGAGCAACGGTCCCCGATAAGCCAAGACGCAGGCTTTGTATTTTTCGACTTGACTTCCTCCATGCGGGTATAAATTGCGTCGTAAATGTGTAGTGAGAGATGGCTGGAAATTAATGGAGCAACTTCTTTATTGGTCGTTGAGGCGAGATAATGCGTGGTTAGAAAGTGGTTGAGGACTCAGACGAGAACGAGAATGAGAATGATAAGAAAGGCATTGTCGAGAAGTCGTCAAATGGAGATATGCTTGAGGTTGCTTTCGACTTTGATTCGACGATGATTCCTCTTGTTTATCCAAGATTTGCAGAACATACTGAGCGATTACACCGGCACCACTGGAAGGTGAAGAATTCGTCTTTGCCGGCTGGCGATAAAAGGCTGAATAGGTGCACTTAAATTGAAGTTGACAACAGAGATAATAGAAAACTAGTAAAAATTGTTAAAGACTAGGCCCTATTGGGTTGAAACTGTGCTATGATTGTAGGTCCCATCCTTGTTTCATGGGCGCAAGCTTGTGGATGCTGGTAGGTAATTGAAGCTGTTATCGCTCGGGGCTCACGATTTCTGATTTACGGAGTGATCAATATCGAAGTCGAAGCTCAGGGGAAGTTTATCTGGCTTTTCCTCTATCGACTATTACGCTCTTTAAACATTCTGTGCTTTTGCTCTGAGTAGCGATCTCGGCTTTCCCCACTAGGGGTAAAACGTCGCTGTCAACTCGTCCCTAGCTCCTAATTATCTACGCTTTGGGGGGGACTATTCTCAACACCTGTCAGTGGTGTCCCCTACGAACCTCCAGCTCTCACTGTAGAGTCTGCAGAGCCGAGATTGAGTAACACCTTATCAACTTTGAGCTGAGTTATCTCCCCCTCCGTCAAAGATACGCTTCCGATAACACATAAGACGACAAAGACGAGAATAATGATGCTGGGAATGAGGAAAGATAATGCGGTACCAAACGTTACAACGGTAGTCAGAGAAGCCCTCGTTACATGAAAACATGTGCTACCCACCGGCGGGCGAACAAAAAGCCCACGAAAGCAGACTAAAAGACCCTTCCACCCTCAAGAATAGCAGATTTCGACCCGTCAAAAATATCGTCCCTACTCATCTTAACTTCCGAATTTACTAGCCAGGAGGGCATCTGAAGTACATGAGTTACTCGACAACCCCACGTCCGTAACGACTTTTGGATGCTAGGCTAGGCTCCTTCACAACAGTCACTCCCGACCAAGACTTTTCTGACATCCTTTCACGACCTACGACTTGTCCTGCGGCATGAATCAGGGAGGAGTAAGGAGGAGGCTAGGAAGTTTGAGAGACACTCTTAGGTATACACAGGTCTGCTGCGCCCGGCTGGTCGGCCTCTTCGTCATAGGAGAGCCCTGCACCCAGTGGTTTTTGAGACTTTTCCTTGCAGCTACATACCCGCAAATGGCCATCGTTTCGTTGGCTGGAGAGAGGAGATAATGAAGGGATAACGGCTCCTCTTAGTGTTTACTCGAATGAAGACTTGTGGGGGTATTACTGCTGGAAAGAAGTCGTGAGGGAGGCAAAGGAGGGAGTATACTACCCAAGGCATATTTACTCCCGGCCTGTAGGCAGAAAGGACCTACATGTCCTTACATAGTTGTAGACTTTTTAGGGCAATAAACACTCGCTCACTTAATCTACATTCATTGCAGATGAGCGACGCTGGTGTTGCAACACATGGCGGACAATGAGTAACCCGATGCACGAACTACTACAGTGTACGATTTGCTCGCTTAACTAGCATAATCCGTATCATCTATTAATCCGAAACAAGAGAATTTGTGTCATGGATGTGTGCCGTAGCGTCTAGCAGGAATAATCGGAAATATGATTACAGAGCCTTGTGATACAGTTTCTGACTGATAAAATGTTTAATTAAGTGAAATTACTTGACCGTTGATTGATTGAAAGCCGAGTATTATAGCTACGTGGCTTTCAGCTCAATCGGAAAATAATTAACACCAAATACGTGGCGCGACGCGTTGTCGCACCTTAAAATATCACTGTTATGGAAAATCAATCTAATCGTCCGCATCGACCTGCAAAAGTTAAAAAGAAACAATCAGGTAGTAATATGAGTCCTCTACTGATGTCGACGTTATCCCGAAGCTAAAAACCTACCAGGCCAAAATCCGAAAGCTTTTGCTTTCGCGAATCCAGGTAGACTCGCAAAAACAGCAGCTCGATCGCACGATGTACAATAGCCATAAACTTATTCCCAAATTTAGCTGATTGTTATAGATAAAAGAGAAGAGGCTACACGTGCCTCAAGTTGATCGCATCCCCGAAGATCCTCCGCCGCGTCTTGTCGCAATTGTCGGCCCTCCTGGAGTTGGTAAGACGACTCTTCTAAAGTCCCTTGTAAAACGCTATGCAAAGGAAACACTATCTGAACCTCTGGGACCTATCACTGTCATAACATCAAAACGTCAGCGCTTGACATTTTTAGAATGTCCCAATCAACTGGAAGCGATGGTCGATATCTCGAAGGTGGCAGACATAGTCTTACTTATGATTGATGGTAACTTTGGATTTGAAATGGAGACCATGGAGTTCTTAAATATATTATCGACAAGCGGCATGCCCGGAAATGTTTTTGGAATTCTAACTCACCTAGATCTTTTCCAGAAACCGCAGACGCTCAAAGATGCTAAGAAACGCCTCAAAAATCGGTTTTGGAGTGAATTATACCAGGGAGCCCACTTGTTCTACATTTCTGGTGTTATTAATGGACGCTACCCTGACCGTGAGATTCATAACTTGTCACGATTTATCTCCGTCATGAAGAATTCAAGGCCCTTGATATGGCGAAACTCTCATCCCTATTCTGTAATAGACAGTTTCCGAGACATAACACATCCCACCAAGATTGAAGAAGATCCTAAATGTGATCGTACGGTAGTCTTATCTGGCTACCTCAGAGGGACTAATTTCGCAGCTCAGGGGCAAAGAGTTCATATACCAGGTTTAGGGGACTATTCTGTATCTGCTATCGAAGCTCTACCTGATCCTTGTCCAACACCATATATGGACCAAACTATAGCGAAGGCATCTGGAAAGACTGGAAGAAGGAGACTTGATGAGAAAGAAAAAAAGCTACACGCTCCCATGTCAAGCAAAAGTGGGTTAAAGATAGATGGGGATACAATCTGGATAACTAGAGAGAAAGGATTCAATTTCGACACTGAGGCGCTGGACGAGGACCATGGTGAAGGTGAAGAGCTGATAATTAATCTCCAGAAAGAAAGAAAACTTCTGGGTCAAACAGAAGAAGGAGTGAAACTCTTCAAAGATGGAGCCCTCATTGTAGACAAAGCCGAATATAACAATGTCGGGCGTAAGCAACCACGTTCAGCCCGATTCTTAGAACTAGATGACCATGACCTCAACTCAAGCACTGAACGCGACGGTGCCAATATTAATGATATTGATAACGGAGACTATAATGTGGATTATGACTCACGGTCTGATAATAGCGATGAACTTTCCTCTGTAGATGAAACAGAAATCACACAGGACAAACTTGGGAGATCATTTCAAGTGTCTAGAGATGATATCATAGAAGAAATGGAATTTGCCGACAGTGATTCTGACCTCGGATCAATATCTGGAAAAAGTGTTGAGATTGAAGATGAAGAACAAGGAGACTATCAAGCCTCATCTGTCCGTTGGAAAAGTAAAATGAGTTCTGTGCAGAGATACCACGCTAAAAAACGGTTATTATGCTCTAAGGATTTATCAAAGCTTATATACAATGAGTCGCTAAGCCCTTCAGAAGTCTCAAGGCGATGGAGAGGCGAATTTGAAGAAGAAAAAGAAAGTAACAGCGATCTCCCTGAACAGGATGACGAGGATGTTTTCTTCTCCAAGGCCGAGTTAAAATCACTGGATACCAATGAAGATAGAGCGATACCAATAATATCCTATGAAGAACTGGAAGCTAAGTGGTCGGATGCAACTAATCTAGATGCATTACGAAGACGTTTCACAGCCACTGATCTCCTACAGCATGAACAGTCAAACGGCGAAAGTGATGATGAGGGTGACGGGGAATTTCATGATCTAGAAGCTGATGGAGAAGGAAAACATGACAATTTAGATGTAGAACGAGAGAAGAATGCTCGGCGCAAAGAAGAACTCAAACTTCGCTTTGAGGCTGAGGATGAAGAGGGTTTGAACAATGACAATGCCATTTCTCGCCGGAACGGCGTTGAGGACGAAGAATTTGGAGAGGATGACTGGTATGATGCCCAAAAGGCACAAATTCAAAAACAGCTCAGCATCAACAAGGCTGAATTTGAAATCTTGGATGATAGTCAACGAGTAAATATAGAAGGGTTCCGAGCAGGTCAGTACGCAAAGATTATTATTGGAGGAGTCGCATCTGAGCTTGTTACGATGTTTGACCCGAAAACTCCGTTGATTGTAGGTGGCCTCTCCGCTACAGAAGACCGATTCGGTTTTTTGCAGGTACGTATCAAGCGCCATCGATGGCACAAGAAGATACTCAAAACAAACGATCCACTTATATTTTCGTTAGGATGGCGTCGCTTCCAGACGCTTCCTGTTTACTCCATATCGGATTCACGGGTTCGGAACCGGATGCTGAAGTATACACCCGAGCACATGCACTGCTTCGGAACATTCTACGGACCTCTCATCGCTCCCAACACAGGCTTCTGTTGTTTTCAATCTTTCTCATCCAAAAGTCCAGGATTCCGCATTTCAGCATCTGGTACTGTCCTTCACGTTGATGAAGTTTCTGAGATAGTAAAAAAGCTTAAATTGACCGGTACGCCATATAAAATTTTTAAAAATACTGCATTCATCAAAGACATGTTCACATCATCTGTAGAAATCGCTAAATTTGAGGGTGCGGCAATAAAGACTGTTTCCGGAGTGAGAGGACAGATCAAGAAAGCGCTCAGCAAACCCGAGGGCCATTTTCGCGCTACGTTTGAAGATAAAATATTGATGTCCGACATAGTCTTTCTACGTACTTGGTATCCCGTGAAACCACATCGTTACTTCAATCCGGTAACGAACCTGATTGGATGGAACGGTATGCGCTTGACGGGTCAGATACGTAAAGATGAAGGATTGCCAACCCCCCAGCTGCGCGATAGTCAGTACAAACCTATTGAACGCGTAAAACGTGTCTTTAATCCGCTTCGAGTCCCTAAGACTCTAGCGGCTGAGCTCCCTTACAAGTCTCAAATTGTGCAAATGCAGAAACAGCGACGGGAAACTTACATGCAAAAGCGTGCTGTGGTATTGGGCGGCGAGGAAAAGAGTGCGCGCGACCTTATGCAAAAGCTAATGACTCTCCGGCAGGAAAAAAATTCCAAGCGACAGGCGGCCAAGGAGGCGCATCGCGCTGTTTACCGGAAGAAACTTGCTGAGAATGCGGAGAAGCGCGAAGAGCGGGAGAAGCGAGAAAAACAGGAGTACTGGAGCAAGGAAGGCAAGAAGCGCAAGCCCGAGAGTGGGCCTGATGGTGGCGCTAAGCGCCGGCGCTGAAAGTTTCCTCTACTTTTATCTAGGTATCAAGTGAACTATTCAACTACGTGCGAATTGGCGAAGTATCTAAAGCTCTGCGAATAAATTCAGGAGATGATCTTCAACGAGCCTTATACACTGGTGGACTACCCGAATTATCGTTTGACACAAGATTGTCCGCCTCCTTGCTCATAACTTTGAGAATATTCTTATATTCTCCAGCTTTATCAGTTGATCACAGCAGCTATTTGCACCTCGTCTTGAAATTTTTATTACTTCATTCTCTACTCAAATACAGCCTGCGGCTAGGATTTAGTAATTTCATCAAGTACGCTCTATTCCTAACATCAAGGTTATGTCCGCGCGCTTAAAAGCACAAAGTTGTTAGTCATGGTTCACTTGCATAACTGATACCCTAAGGCCTGATAGGGAAGTCGGGCGTCCGTCCCCAGCGGGAATTTCATACCTGACTTCCAGACCTTTCTTTATACTCACGAATAAGATTATCCTACTCCATTTGTTATTCAGTTTTAGAATATATGAATGCAATACAATTGAATAATTGTTTATGGAAATCGCTATATGACAATCAACTAGGATTGCATTTGTGTGGACGCTCGAGCCTTTCTGTCGAGTTATGACAGGTTTTAAGAACTACTTATCCAAATTTCGTGAAACCATGCAAGATTTCGCGAGTTCCTTCCTATTAATAATGTGAAATACTTATCAATGAAACGAGAACCCTTTTGAGGCTCTATTTTCCAGTCTATAGGTCCAGAGGAAGCACTTAAACAGTAACGAAAAGATACTCAACAGGTCTTGCTGGCGAAAAGTTTCAATCGCGCTGTGCACCGTCCCGAAAACTACTGCCTACCACAAGCACCAACTCAAGTTCTAAAAAGTTATGACTATAATTTGAAGTTAGAAATTGAAAGACTTTTGCGTCGAATTCGCAACCCACAAAATGATATCTCTTTTTTGGTGTGAAATTAAATTAAACCTAAAAAGGCTTTCCATTCTAAGTTATTCTACCAGTTTTTAATACATAAAAATTGAAAATGGTGGACATGCTCAAAGTAGATGCAGTCTGATAACCTACATGCCTTCAGGCTGTTAACAACCAAGTGTTTTCAGGGCTTCTTTGAGCTCTTTGACTGCAGTATCAGTATCCTCAAAATTCAAGGCAGAAATCGCCCATCGCGCGTGCTTTTGCGCCTTTTCAATTGAAGCAGTATCAGTTCTCACCACGCTTTGTGGGACCTTAACTGGAATCACCGGAGCCGCAACAGATATCGGGTTAGATGTGAGAGATTTGCTGGTCTCGTGGATTTTTGGTGTTAGAGCCATTGGTCTGGTATCAGAAAATGGCGAGAGTGGACTATATGGTGGTTCCAGGGATTGATGCGACGAATCGTTTGCCAAGCTAGGAGGAGGGAACGATTCAAAGTTTTGACTAAGTTTAGACCTAAGCGAGCCACAGTTCTGCTGGGGTAGTGCTTCACTGGTGTTGGAGCATGAAATGTATTTCGGTACTGTTGGAAATTCATTTAGATTCTTGGTGTCTGTAATCTCGTCTGTTAAGATTTCCCGGGAAGGTAAGGGTATATCAGGAGCTTTTGTGTCATTGACTACATCTTCGGTATCAGGTTCGAAGGGTGGATACGTTTCTAACTCTGCACATGGAATAAGAATTGAAGATTCATCTGCCGGTAATTGACTTTTTGAAGTAATTATAACATCTTGCTCGTCTGGAACTTCTTCAAAAAACGCATTTAGATTACTCGTGGATCTTTTGGATTGTTCGGCTTCTGGATCATTCTGGTCCAGTGTCAGCAGCCCCGAGTCATCATCAAATACTGACTTCGGGTTAGATTCGTTAGGATCTTTACCCTCTTTCAGAGCCCGTATTATCCGAATAGCGTTCCACTTGGCATATTTTATCTTGGATGTTGTTTCCGCGTCTGGAGATGACCAAATATTGATTAGTTCAAAAAAAGTTGCAGCTGCTTGGAAGGTGTTTGCAGTTTGTCTGTTACTCAGTTACACTAGTCTTTTCAGAGTTATAAGCTGCCTACTTAGTAGCCTTATTAGCCTTCAAGACTCGATCAGCTCTCAGAAATGTTTCGAGTGCAAACTGCTCCACATATGCCTGACCTGCCATATCATCAATGATGGCATCGTTTGTGGAGTTTTCGGCCTTTATCTATGAGGCGTCAGAACTCCACTCGTCATATGTATCTCCCAGTACTACCTGCTCCAGTTTATCCATCAAATTTGTAGTGAACTTAAGTGTACCTGGATCATTACTGTGAAGACCCTTTGTTAAGATCTGATTTACAGTCCAATATTCACCTGTGATTGTCAATCATTGCCATCTCCTTGTGAGACAGTAGCATACACCAATATGCAATAATAGGTCGGACTGTTTCCAGTTGTGCGGCTCTGCTGATAAATCTTGTAAGATCCGCTGCCTTGAGACTTGCCGGAATTAGTGTCGACATTGCGCCCAACGTAGAATTGTTCCAGCGAGTTACAGGATAAAGGCAAGTGTATCCTCAGTCTAGGATCGAGGGTTAGGGGTCTTACTGAAGGGCAGATTGAGAGTCAGTCAAGTAGATGTGGGGTGAATGTTAGGAGGCTGTCGGAGTGGGTAAAAATAACCGTTTCATTAATGCTTACCTCTATTAACATTTCATTTGCAAATCTAAAGGCCTCAAACTCCGACGAAGAATACCTATTTAAGGTACTACAACCACCGTGTAGAAGGATCAGTACCTTTATTGCTACTCTACAACCAACTATCTTAGAGTTTGTATTTCTAAGTACTTCATTATGTTTCAACTATCAATTCTCGCCGTTACAACGACAGTCCTCCTGGCTCTCCCAGCCAATGCAGATCTATATCCTAAAAGCTCGGCTGTTCTTTCTATCGATAGCAAAATTTATGAAAATCACATTTCTAAATCTAACCATACAACTGTCAGTCGTATAAAACTAAAATTTGACTACATCTAATTCTTACAGATCCTTGAATTCTATGCTCCTTGGTGTGGGCATTGCAAAAATCTTCAACCAGCCTACGAGAAAGCGGCAGAAAGGCTTAAAGGCCTTGCAAACGTTGCGGCCGTCAATTGTGATAAAGAATCAAACAAAGGTTTCTGTGCTCGTTTTGGTATAGAGGGATTTCCAACTATAAAAATCATCAAGCCAGGGAAAACGCCAGGGAAACCAAGGGTTGAAGAATATAACGGTCCACGAAGTGCTAAAGGGATTGTAGAAACCGTTGTCCAGAATATTCCTAATCTAGTGAAAACACTTCATCGTGAAACGGCCGAAGAATGGATTAAAACTACAAATGAATCTCCGCGCGCAATTCTATTTACCGAAAAGCCAAAAGTTAGTGGACTCTGGAAGGCTATAGCTATTGAATTCAAGGGAAATGTTCAATTTGCTCAGCTGCAAACTGATCTGAATGAAGATAGTCAAGCCAAGTTGTACGAAATTACAAAGTTGCCCACTGTATTGTTACTGAAGCCTGGAGCTGAGGTTGAAAAACTTCGATATGACGGCGAAATAAAGCGAGAAAAGCTTGTTGAATTCTTATCTCAGGTCGCGACACCTAATCCTGATCCTGCGCCAGTCACAGCCAAAAAAGACTCAACAAAAGCCGATGAAGCTGAGACAACCCCACCAACTACTGCCCAGAAGCCTGCCTCTACCACTGAACCTGCACCAACGATTCCCGCTTTACTTCAGGAAACTGAGCTAAACACTGAATGTCTTGGAACTAAAACCGGAACCTGTATTTTGGTATTACTTTCGGGTACACCCGATAAAGAAGCGATAGAGAACATTGGCTTTATATCAGAGCTTGCACACAAATACAAGAAGCTGAATAGAGTGTTGTTTCCATTCTATATCCTACCTGAGATGAATCCAAAGTATGCTACTATGGCAAAGGAACTTTCCCTAGATGATAAATTGAGTGTTATAGCTGTCAATGGAAAAAGGATGTGGTGGAGACAGATGCACCAACCTGAAGATTCAAGCACTAAAGCATTGGGGAAAACTCTTGAGAATTGGATTAGCTCTATCCAGTTGGGCGAGGGAGAAAAATTAAAACTTCCATCCGGGCTCGTGGTCGAGAATTTCGAGGAAATAGTCGAGGAAAAAGTTGAGGAAAATAATTCGGAAGAAAAGTCTAAGAATGAAAATTCAGAAAATATCGTGGGTGAAGAGTTACATGACGAACTTTAAGATAGGAACTATCATGCTGTATCTTTAACTCGAGTATCGATCTGTCAGCACTTCCAAGCTTGACGGAAAAATCAATCCTAAATTATTATGAGTGACTCGTCTACAACAAGATTATTTTATAAAGTGATGTGCCAAAAAAACAGGTAATCGCTGAAGTATGAAGACAATTTTTACACTATTTACCAGCCTCTTTCTCTTTGGAATATATCAGTCTAGTAAATACTATCCTCGCATTGAAGAATCAGAGCTGTACAGCTGCTACCAATTTTTTCTACGAACGTAAAGGTAATTCTATTATAAAACTCTCATTCACTCCCTAAATTTCCAGATGAAAAATTTCTACATCGTTTCCATCGATATTCCTTACTTCCTAAAGACCCCCTGAGCGCTATTAGACCCTTACATTTTTCCTATGAACCGTACTCAATTTAGAAATATATCGTCTCCTGTCCACTCGAAATCTCACTTTCATCGACATACACCTCAAGTACACGACAACCTGACCAAGCACTAATTGCTGTTTTAACTGTTCGGCATACACTCGACAAGTTTACAGGTAGGGTGGTCCGGAAGTTGTCTCATGTTACTGTTGCAACTACGGCGTCTGAGTTGGATGATCAATGTGTTAGATAGTTGCTGGCGGAAATACTCCAGGTACAAGGGTATATTATGTAATCAGTTAAGCGACCATGTAGTTGTACGAACCACAGTATACCAGAAGGATAGGAAGAATGTAATTGTTAATTATCTGTTCAATATCGTATACTAGTAAACACCTCCCGACTGATACATACCAACAGTTACATTACTAATAGTTGTTGTTGTTGCTTGTTTGTCCATCTTCCATCTAAATGCGTTGTAGATCTAGCCAGCGTATCCCTGACTACTGAGCAGCCTTTCTACAATGCCAAGGTTGATGACTTATTCCTCAATGACTGATCTATGTAAATAGAAATTTATTTTATAATTCGAATTCAATCCTTCACTGAGTCATAGCCCATGATAGAATAGCATCCGATGGAATGTGCTGGCAACTTACTACTGGAAAAAAACATCATTTTTGCCGAAAAGCTGCGCAATGTTCAACGGTGTCTTTACAAACAATTTGACAACGTGAATCTTAATTTTTTATCCTCTTTAAACCCAGTTACATATATCGCTTACCGTGATACGGCATGGTGGGTTATTGTTGTTGAATTTTTTTTGAAGTCCTGAGCTAAAGTAAAAATGCTCTACATCCTACTATTGGTACAGCCGGCAAAGAAGAATTCTTTACCTTCCAGTGATGCCGGTGTAATCGCTCAGTATGCTCTGCATATCTGGGATAGCCAAGAAGAATCGCATCCAAAACGAAGTCGAATGCACTTACAAGCACATCTAAAATTGACGACTTCTCGTTGATGTTGGACCCATCATTCTCGTGCGAGTTCTCCACCTCAATCTTACCACACCACCTCGTCTCAAATACCGATAATGGCGTTACTCCAATTGCAATCGGGAATTTGCCTCATCAAAAATCGGCCATCTCTCCCTACACATTTACGACGCTATGTATACCCCCGAGGAAGAATTTAAGTCACAATCTACAAAGCTCGGGTCTTGGTCTATGGGGGACCGTTGCTCTAATGGGGCTTCACATCTTGAGGGAGGACAGGTAGCTGGGACGTGAGACGAACGAGTGAAGAGGTCACAAATGGGCATGCTGGGACGCACATTTCTCGAGTATTTTCGACTTAAGGGTATCTATGGGCGCCGAGGCAATGATTTAGAATAGTACAACTGACACTCTAAAAACAGGAAACTACGGATGGTGTTTTGGACCGCCTCCTGGTCGTCATCTCCCCGAATTAAAGTCTGGGTAGCCTGGACACCTACCTCACTCGAGAAAGGGAGGACCGTTAGGCCATATCTCGCGCGACGGCTATATACAAGATGACAAAGGCATGTTAGGTTAGGCAAAGGTTTTTCCTGTTTTCCCTTTGGTGGATATTAACGGTTGAGGGAAGAGTGAACGACCCTAGCACCAAGGTCTCGAGTGGTATCAGCGAATGTACCCACTACATGAGTAGTCCAAATATCAAACTGAGTTCTTGTCGTATATGGTTGTCGAAGAAGCTAATCTTCTTCGTGTCATGATCTTTGAGTGCAGGGCTTGTGCCCCTCACGAATAAACTTTCATTCTCATTCTACTATTGGTACAGGACTGGTGGAGCGGGTAAGGATGACTGTATACAGGCCCAACTCATTCCAACCGCGTGAATTTCCTCATAAATAAAGGTGTTCATAGCAAAACTAAAATCAAAAACAAAAAACAAATTCAAGATAAATCCCTGTAGGTCCGGATCCCGCGCTTCTCGCCCGTTCCCTTTCCTGTCACATCTTCCAAGTGATACTCTCTGACCTTCGCTGAGAGCAGAAGATGAGCTCGCAGGCACCCTTTTTCCATCTGGTGTCCTACTGTTAGTATGTTGAAGCCTCGACGACTTCACTGAGGCTGGCCGCAACCTTAAACCTCCTCTTCGGCTTCCAGAATCCCAAAACCCGATCCGTCCGACATATAGACGTCGTTCTTTGAGCCGTGCATTGCCTGAATGGCTATTTTGGCTGCAGCTTTCATTCGAGCATAATCGGCGTGATTTTTCTCCTCGGCTTTGCGAATTAATGCAAGCTGCTCTTTTATCACCGATCCGAACTTGCTGGGTCTGGCTTTGCAGAACCGCGAATCCGATCGATGAGGCCCACCACAATTTCGATACCGCGTGGGGGCTTTACGCTCCGTTTCAGGGTGCATTTTTGATCCGCAGTTCCAGCAAGTCGGAGCGCGGGACCAACCGCGAGAGGCATGGAAGCCAAGATATCGATTGCACTGAATTAATTTTCGACGAGGTTGGAAGAGCTTTACAGCGCCGGAGTCATCGAAGAGGCGAAATCTGTTATAAACTGCCAAGAGATCCCAGATCTATGCAGATTTATGCATACCAATATTTCATGCAAGTCCAAGGATATGGACTTGAGGGCAACCCATACCTGGGACATCATAGATTTGTAATGGAATGGTATGGGATCGAGTAGTGTGGAATGGAATGTACTGGATAGTGTAGGAACTGTGATGTGGCTATCCAGGACACGCATATTATGAGATGTATCTCCTAGCAATAGGAGCAAGTAAAAGTCATTTTAATACAAGCGTTCCTCAGTTAACACAAATCTTTTCGATATCTACGTTAGGATTCTACGAACAAATAAAGCATCCTTCCAAGGTGAAGATTCAACCTGTATGTGCTCATAATCTTAACAAAATCCAGGTCTGGGCGTAGTTTCCCGAGGGAAGAGCGCTTGCCAGTTCTGGTATGGCGCTCCAGGTTTGCAAGTCCCGTGAGGACGAAAAAGATCTGATTTGGTCACTCGCGTGGCTTCGTCGGCGACCATCTTTTCCGGTATAAAAACGGAGCCTTTGAGTGTGCTAATTCTCACTGGGACGGTGGCAACTTGAAGGTCAACCAGATTTGACGCTGGTTCTAGATTTATTCCATATTCTCTCCGTGCCGCGGAGGAATCCAGGAGCTCTTTCCGAGCGAGTTTACCCTTTACTGTTAGCGCAAAGCCTGTTTTTACCCGTTGAACCAACGTGATATTGTTGGCTGCGGTACCAAGTGCCTCTGAAACAACTGATCTTACGCCAGCTGGTGCGGGGAGTAAAAATAGTCGCGTATCGGCTACTGTCCTCGTATTGGCTCCCTTTGTTTTGGGAGCGGGCGGGGCTGCCATTGTTGTTGACGACCCAGTGCTATGGCCAAGTGTTGTGATGTGATTTGAATTTGAATTTGAAATCTTTAACGTGACAGGACGAACCCAACATCTATTTAGACGTGACACGGGTAGATGGGCCCTACGAGCTCATTGCTACCTACATGACCGGCATTAAAGCCAGAAGCGACAAAAGAAAAATAAAATCACAGCAAATGTCTGAGTTACGGTGCCCTGCACCGTATCCCTATCTTCCAAACACCTCTCCTCTCGAGCCAGAAACTATCTCAGCATGGTCACTCCCACCCTGTCAGTTCTTCGGCAGACTGTAGCATCTGCTTATGGTTAGGAATTGGAAAAACTTCTGCCATCCCTTCTCCCCTATCATTTCCCTGACCCCAGGTGGAGTCATTTTCTCACAGCTTCTCCAACGTTGCAGAGCAGGTCGGCACTCTGAAAAATGCCAGGGCCTTTTCTCTCGGCCACAAATGCACATCAGATCTTCATGTTCGGGGTTGAAACGCCGGTGGTAGTCGGCGTAGTCCCCGTGGCCTGTTCTTGCCGCAATAAGACGGTGATACGCCCATCGAGGCAGAGCCAGTTCCGGCGGTCGCTTGCAGCGCATGTAGAGGTCGAGATCTTTGTATCGTTTAGGCCGATACTTCTGCCACCACTCTTCCACAAGCTTTTGGCTCCGCATTTTCACTAGTCTCCCTAGAGCCGCAAAGGTCAGAATTTGCTCGTCTCCGTTGGGCGAAGCTGAGGTTAGTGAGTGGTCATTGAGATCTCCCAGGGCTGATTTGGCCAGCTTATCGGCTTCTTCGTTGCCTTGGATCCCCACATGACCAGGTATCCAGTGTATTTCTACACGCCTATTATGTCTCAGCGATGAGAACTTGTCCACCACTGTCTGCGAGGAATTGGATCTTCCTTGTTCGAGCGCTCTGACGGCCGCTTGATTGTCCAGAAGAATGCTGACCGGAAAGCCTTCTCCCACCGCTAGTGCAGCCTCCAAGGCTTTCATAGCGCCAACAACTTCTGCGTCGAATACCTCTGCTCCGGGAAGCGGACCCGAGCCACTTCCAGCTAGTTTGCCTCCTTGGTATACCACATAACCCCAAGCTGATTGCCCGGGACCCGACGAGGATCCATCAGAGAAGGCACAGACTGCGTTGGCTGGAAGGGAAGTTAACCATCGTTTGATGCTTCCTGACCTAGCTTCTTTTTCCCGACTGCCTGGTGTCGATGCCGGG